ATACACAGCACTGGCTCTCTATCCTATTGGCTCCTCTCCTGGTTTTGGCCCTGGGGGCCAACTTTGTTTTATTAATGACCATCTGGCAGGAAGCATCTCTGCATGAGCCCATGTACTACCTGCTGGCCATCCTCTCTTTGCTGGATGTCATCCTCTGCCTCACAGTCATCCCCAAGGTCAGACCCTCCAAAGACTTTCTTCCAGGCAGTCAACTTCCTTCCTTCCTTCCTTCCTTCCTTCCTTCCTTCCTTCCTTCCTTCCTTCCTTCCTTCCTTCGTTCCTTCCTTCCATCCTTTCTTCCTTTCTTCCCTCCTTACTGTTATAATTTGTTATACATGATGACCAAATGCATTTTGATTCATAGTATATAAATGGAGCACAATATTTTATTTCTTTGGTTGTATACACAGTACATTCACATCATTCGTGTCTTTATATGTGTACCTAGGGTAATGATGTCCATCTCATTCCACCAACTTGCCTACCCCCATGCCCTCTCCCTTTCCATTCCTCCTCTTTGCCCTATCCAAAGTTCTTCCATTCCCCCCATATTCTCCTCTCATTATGCATCAGCATCCACTAATCACATTTGTCCTTTGTATTTTTGGGATTGGCTTACTTCACTTAGCATGATATTCTCCAACTCCTTCCATTTACCTGAAAATGCCATGATTTTATTCTCTTTAGTTGCTGAGTAATAATATTCCATTGTGTATATATACCACGTTTTCTTTATCCATTCACCTATTGAAGGGCACCTAGGTCAGTTCCATAGTTTAGCTACTGTAAATTTAGTTGCTATAAACATTGATGTGGCTGCAACACTGTAGTATGCTGTTTTTAAGTCCTTTGGATATAAACCAAGGAGTGGATAGCTGGGCCGAATGGTGGTTCCAGTCTAAATTTTCTAAGGAATCTACATACTGTTTTCCAGATTTTAATCTTCTTTCTTTACACAATATGCCATTTTGCTTCTATGAATCCTCCCATCCCTAAAGGAAAAGCACTGCACCAGATCCCACACAGATATGCCCTCTTATTCTTTATGTTCATGTCTTTTTAAAGTTTTCATTATTTCCAGTGGACAGATCATCTCTCAATATCTAAGTGATATTTAAAATTTAAATTCTCTTCTTACCTGTCATAACATCTGAATTATTCTACTCCTACACTCCAGGGCTCTAGAATTTTCTTTCTAAATGTAATTGGATGTACATTTGTATCATGTACTGTGATAGGAAACATTGTTGTAAAAGGTTTCTTATGTGTATGGAGGGACTTCTTGAAAATTCCTGTGATGGGCCGATAAACCTACTGGAGTTTGGGTAAGAATCATAGAGATCAGGATAGGTCAGGGATACAAATAAGCATTTTTTTTTAAACCAAAATTTAGTCTCTAGAATTAGGAAAGGGTATAAGTTAGATTCTGGAGACTGAGATGGGCTTAGAAAGGATTTGAAATGAGGATACTGTCCCGGGGGGCGTTGTGGGGCTGTGGTTTTAGGGTGGGTTGGTTTTAACAAACCTTCTGAGTGTTTTCATAAGAGTTAGGTGCTCTAAGATGATAATGAATATACAGTGTTTTTGAGAACAATGATTCTGG